TTTTGTCTTTATTTTCTAATGTATTCAAACTATAATATAATATGTATTGTGATATTTATTAATATAATAATTAATATAATATAATATAAACATAATTTATTTTTTCTCCTCAATTTAAATTCCTTTCACAAATGAAACATTTAAAAGTAATAATGGAAATGAAAAAAGTTTATTTAATAATTATTTAAAAAGCGAAAAATCAATTACTTTAATTATTATACATTCATATTAAATTTTGTAATATAACTTATATTGTTCATTATAAAATATTATAATTATAATTTATCAAAACATTTTTCACAAGAGACAATAAATGTATCAAAAAATTTATTTATTTATTATATATAATAATAGAAACAAATTTAAAATTTCTAATTATTGGATTGTTTAAAAAAAGTAAAAGCATTAAATTTATTTTTAAATTAAAATTTATTTTTAACTGTAACTTCCAATAATGTAAACATTTCTTATAATTTACACTCTTCATTTAATTAATAAAATAACAAATTCTGTTATTTATGTTATTTCTGAAACATCATTTGCTAAACATTTTTTAAATTTTATAAGATTTTCAAATTATAATTATATAATTATATATATAATTTTATATAATATTATATATATATATATATATTATTATTATAGAATATACGTTATAGAATATATACATATAATATAATATTAATTATATAAATTATATAAACATTATAATTAATATATATAATTTTATATAATTATGGAAATACATAGATAGAAAGATAAATATATATATATATATAATATATATTACATATATATTATATATATATATATATAATATTATATATAATATATAATATATATTATTGATACCATCATTCATTATCGAATATTAATTTATTTCGACGATCAGAAACACATTCCATCAAGATCTTAACAAAAACAAACTTTCCTCGAACATAGTTAAAAGAATCGTAAACGAATTCGATTAACGGCGAAAATATATAGAAAAGGATTTTTAATAAAACATGAACGCTAATACGTACAAACTTAAAAAACTATTTTCTTTCAAGAGGTCTCGAACAAAAGATTTCTTTTGTTCGTGATCAATATTAATAAAATGCTAATATCGATGTAATATTAAGCCGATATTGAATAAGGATTAAACATGCAACCACTGTTAGATGATGAAATTGAAATTCTTTGTGGAAATATTCCGACTTTTTGTGAAAATTATACAATCTTCGAAAAACTCAAAAATGTCTTTCTCGAAACTTTCGAAATCTTATACATATTTTCAATAAAATTATAATATAGTCTATTAAACTATAATAAAAAAATACTTTATATTTTACGAATATAAAAGAGACTTTTATAAAAGAAACTTTTATGTAAATAAAAATATATTATTCAAAAACATGTTTCAAAAAATAACTATTATTAATCTAATAATAAATTGTATAATTAAAAGAGAAAAATTAGAATTATTTTTACAATATTTATCAAAGTTATTTATGATCTATAATCTATTATCTATAATCACAGACAGATTATGTAACAATTTATTACTTTCCATAATTCTTATAAAGCAATGCATTTTGTTTCAACCGCTGCAAAAAATATACTATAATTTTATTTTAAAAGATCAATAATTTTTGTATTTATTTTTATATCGTTTGCCAATACAAATAGAATTAACAAATATATGTCTTAAAGAAAAAATAATTTATTATGACGCCCTCTTACTTTCATTTATATACTTCAATAAAAATAATACTTCAATAAAAAGTTTAAGAGTCAATAATAAACAAATCAATATATGATATTGATTATTGAAAATCATAAAATAATTATTTTGATAACATATATATTATAAAAACTTATATCACAATCAATAACAAAAATCGTATGTTTTAAAAAATATGTAAAAATCACAGATAAATTTTGTGATTATTAGTAATTGTATAGACGAGATTTCATTTGAAATAATTGTATAAGTACAAAAAAATATATCAATAAAAAAGTAGATTACAATCGAATTGTAATTGATAAATGAAATTAATTATATATTACATTAATTTATTTAGATACGACATGGAGATCAGAAATAAATAGATAGATAAATCTAGAATATGAAGCTAAATGGAGACTTATTAGCTAAATTACAAAATTTTAATGGCGCTGATATCTTCTTAGAAAAACATATATTCATATTTCTTTTAGATTATCACATTCTTGAATTCGAACTGCATTACAAAATTCAAACTGGTATATATATATAATTTAATCGATTTTTAATCCACATATTATTTTTGACTATGTATGATTGGGCATCATAATACATGCAATTTTTTTTCTTAAACTTTGTTTCTATTCATAATTATTTCTATTTTTTTTTTTTTTTTTTTTTTTTTTTTTGATTTCGCTCTACGCTTCGATCTTTGCTTATTTATTCTTGTAGTTTTATAGTTAACCGCAAAACGATTATACTATATCATTAATATAATATGTCTGTTTCAATGATAATCTTCATTAATTTTCAAAAAATCATCTCGGCAAAAACATAAATTTAGTATAAATTATTATTAATAGAAGAAAGTCCTTTATGATGATAGAAAGAAGTTCCATGCCAACATATAACAATCAGGAACAACTTACTCTTTGAATAAGTTTTATATGTATATATATTCATAACTATATTTACATCCATTTTATCACATTATAGCATATTTTAAGAGCATATATTAATAGCATATTTTAAAAGTTTAGATTTAGCAATAGCAATTAATTACGTAATTTTAGAATGATTAAACAAAAATATTAATTTATAATTTATAATATTTAAAATAATTATTCGGAATAAAGATTTTTGCTGATTTTTATGATTTGAATAAGTTTATTATAGAAATAATATTTTGAACAATTTTTTTCTTTATATGTTGCCTCCATTCGATCTTAATTTTTCAAGATTTGTAAAAAAAATTGCTATTATATTGCACACAATTTCTCTTATACATATATATCTATAGCTATATATGCATATACAATCACCACTATATTTTTTATGAATTAATGTAAACAATGTAATATAACAACAAATAACTAAAATATAAGACAAATGTAATTAAAACAACTGAAATTCAAAAATTTACTTACTCATGAATTATAATAAGATTAAAATCCAATGCTGAATTTGGGTTCACAAAATAGAAAAATAAAATATAAAATAATTTTTAAATGATCGAAATTACAATGATCAAAATTATAATAAATATCATTTTGGTATCTATCGTTATAATTTCGATCATCCAAGAGTTGTTTTATATTTTATTTTTGCATTTCATAAATCCAAAGAATCTATAAAATATCTAAGTTTACCATTGAATTTGAGATATTTTAAACCCATTATAATCCATAAAGAAATAATTTTTTAATCGATCTATTTGTTATATATTTTGAATGCTATAATATTTTATAATTTTATTATTAATGCTATAATATTTATAGGAATAAAAATAATAAATTGTGAAAAATCATAGGCTTATATCTATGTAATATATAGGAAATATATAGGATATATAGGAATAAAAATTCTATGAAATAGTAACTTTTTTTTCGCAAATATTTCAAAAATTAAGTTCGAATGGCAATAATATGTAAAGAAAAAAAATTATTCAAAATTTTATGTTATCCTATTCCAAATAATTATCAATATATTATATATTTTATTAAAATATTAAAGCTACATTAACTAATTTTATATATGAATATAAATGAAAATTAATATAAAATATTAAATATGAAATATTAAATACAAAACTTTAGATAATTCACACTTTAAGAGCTTGTAAAGAATAGTCCATTAAAATTTTTATAAATATTATTCAATATTAGAAATATCATAATCTCTCATATATATATGTATCTCATAATCTATCATAATAACAGAACTTTTCAACTAAGTTCTTAAGAAAATAGATTGCAAATATTTGCTAGATATTAAAATAAAATATACATATTACTAATGATGTTATAAAATAGCATGCAGGAATTGCAGGATCTTTTTCACTTCGACTACAAAAAAAAAATGAATAATGCAATATCAATAAACATATGGAAAATCTACGTTATAAAATACTGTTCCCAAGTACTATTTATTAGCTTAAATGATGCTGATAAATTTTATTTAGCCAAAAATTTTCATTTTTTTTTTATATCAATGATTTTGAAATTCTATATTAACTTTCATAAGAAAGATTAAATAGACACAGTAAAAAATATATCACAAACAAAACACAGAGAATAAATCTAAAATTTTACGGAATTTTTTATTTCATATTTTAAAATATTGATTGTCTAAAAGATCAGCGTTAAGTATACTATGATTTAAAATAGCAAATACAAATAAAAATATATTTAATACAATCATATTATAAAAAATATAGGAAAATATAAGAAATGAAAATATTAGGAAAAAAAAAACGGAAAGAAAAATATAAATACAGATGTATACTTTTTACAAAAGAAGCAACTTGTTCAAGATTGAGAAATTGTTTCTTGTCTCTTTCTTTCTTTCCAAGTAGAATATTAATATTTAAAATTAGTAGTATATTAATTTGGTAATATTAATATTATTATTAATATCTATTTTCTAAAAAATTGAATTTTATTTTTTATATAGAAAAATAATTTTTGAATTTTTAATTTTGAATTTTTTAATAAATTAAAGAAATAAATTTTTTTAAATTCTTTATTATAATATATACAAGCATAATTTCTGAATTTTTTAAAAATTATATGTAAAAAATAAATAGATTTAATAAGTATAAAAATTTTTTAATAATTTTATTTAATCAAAAAATATAAAACATGCTATATAAATAATTTTAGCAAAGAAAATATATATATATATATATAGAAATTATTACATATATAATATAATATATAATATAATATATACTTATACAATACTTATATATACTTATATTACAACATATATTTATTACTTATAATATTGTCTTTTAATCTTCAATTTCAATTCAAAAGCATTGATTGGTATTACCAATAATTATCTGTACAAGAAAATATAAATTAGTTCCAGTATTTTCAAATACGTACATATATTTAAATATATATATATATATACTATTCTCAGAAGTAGCAAATTCGAAATCATAGCATTCATAGATCTTGGTGAATAAATCATCATAATAATTGAAATAAAAATTATTTAATTTTTTCATAAAAAATTAATAAATTTATTACCTTTCTTAAAAAAAATTAATTTTATTCTTCAGATTTAAGTATCTACAAAAAACAAAATACAAATTATATTAATTATATTTCTATATTGTATTTCTTTATTTTTTTAGCAACAAATTTAAAAAAAATCAGTTAGCAAATACTATAACTAATCATAGAGCATTCATAAATCTTGGTGGTTTATTAATTTCATCATCAATATATTAATAATAAATAAAGTAAATATTAATATTAGAATACTTACACTTTATTGTAACATTCTTCTCAGAAATGATTGTCATATGAACCTGAAATTTTATTTTTTTTTAATAACAATTATATTCTAATCTATATAAGATAATATATATAAATATTCATTTAACAAATTCAGTTAGCAAATACTAGATTAATCATAGCATTCATTGATCTTGGTGGTTTATAATTTCATCATTATTATATATAATATATTATAAATAATATATAATAAATAAATAAAATATTAATACTTAATATACTTACATTTTATTGTAATTCTTCTTTGCATATTCAAACAATTGGTATGTGAACCTGAAATTTTTTTTTAATAATTATATTTCAATATTAAATATAAAATAAAATGAATAAAATAATATTTTTATTATTCAGTTAGCAAATACTATTAATTAATCATAGCATTCATAGATCTTGGTGGTTTATAATTTCATCATCAATATATTAATAATAAATAAGGTAAATATTAATATTAAAATACTTACACTTTATTGTAACATTCTTTTCAGAAGTGATTGTTATATGAAGCTGAAATTTTATTTTTCTTTAATTATATTCTAAAATAAAATAATATATATATATATATATATATATTCATTTAATGAATTCAGTTAGCAAATACTAGATTAATCATTGATCTTGATGGTTTATTATTTCAACATTAATAGATATATAATAAATAATATATATATATAATAATTTATAATAAATAAATAAAATATTAATACTTAATATACTTACATTTTATTATAATATTTTTTTTTACATTAATATTCAAACAATTGGTATATGAATCTGAAATTTTTTTTTTAAATTATATTTCAATTTAAATAAAATAATATTTTTATTTTTATAGATTTCAGTTAGCAAATACTATTAATTAATCATAGTACTCATAGATCTTGATGGTTTATAATTTCATCAATTTTTAATTCATAATAAATCAGCTAAATATTATACTTAATATACTTACATAATTACATATATTTTATTATAATTTTTCAAAATTGGTATCTTAATTTTTATTTTAATCTTTATAAAAATATTTTATTTAATCTAAATCTATTATATTCTAATTTATATAGATTTCAATTAGCAAATATTAATATAATCTGCATAATAAATAAAATAAATAATCATAGCATTCATAGATTATTATATCTTAATGGATAAAAATAATTATGATAATAATTATATACAAAATAATTCATTAAAATAATAAAATATTAAATAATTATAATTTATTATAAAAGAATTAACAAATATAAACGTACTTACATAAAAATAATGATTTTTACCCAACCTCTATTTATGAATGCTGAAATCAAAAATATAATGTATTATTTATATGCATATATGCATATATACATTTATATTCATGTATTATTTATATGCATCTTTAAAATAATTAAATTAGATAACTTACCTTTCAAATATATATATAGTTATATGTAATTACTTTATACAACCTTTTTGTTTAGGGCTTTTAAAATAAATATATTAGATATAATTGCAAAGAAGAAATATCAACTAATATTAAAGCTTTTAAAAATAGCAATTCAATTAAATAAATTAATTTATACATAAGAAAAAATTTCAGAATTGATAAACAATTAATAAATCTTTTTTACAATATATATCACATCTGTAAATTTATATTAAAATGTATATTTATTAATATACAAATTAATCAGCCTTTTTTGTTGTTCGAGTCTTCTTAGCAGGTAAAGGCTTTTGGGAGCGCAACACAGCACTAGCACGACGTAATGCAGCCTAAAAATAATTCATTTTTATCATATTGATAACTTTTTTAAATCTTTATCACAAACAAATTTTATCTTATATTTCAAATGAATCTACCTTAGTAAGATCTACACGATATTTATTTTTTGTAAGCAATCTTTTTAATTTATATAAAGAACGACGAGCTCCAGCTTTCATTGTGCATCGAACTGTAGCTTTTGCAGGCTTATTCATAGCTTTAGCTTTTTTATAAACTACTGTAAATCCTTTCTTATCAGATGTATCAACAATACCAACACTTTTTCTATGAATCAAACCAGAATAACGATAGCTACTCAAATTGGTCAAATTGTTAGATTCCTAAAATTTTATATTATATATCAATCTATAAATTGATAAAAGAAGATTCAAAAAAAAATAATGAAAAAAATATATAAAGAAAAAAAATTTTAAATAAAATTTTAAATAATTTTAATAAAACATGTACAAACCGTTGAAAATGGTTTATTAATATTGCGTTTTTTTAAGAGGAACGCATTATTATTACGGATAATCATCCAATTTAAATGAGACGACATAGTGAATTATCTAAAACAGTAACATATTAAAATTTTTATAATAATTCTATTTATATAAATACATAAATTTGAAAATTGATAACTATATATTAACCTATAAAATTATTAAATAAAATAAGAATTTATTCAAATTATTAAATCTTTAAATTATTTTTAGAGAAATAGTTCATAATTATTAAACTATATATTTATTTTACTATTATTAAACTATATGATAAATAAAAAATCTAATATTCAATATTATAAACGAGAAATATAGACTCACCACGTGTATAGCTAACGAAAAGGAATCAGAAAGGCATATTTAAGATGGCGTAAAATAAATGATAGTCCAGAAAATTTATAAATATCCCTATATAACGCATAGATCAAAAATTATGATAAAATTTCTTTTAAAATATAATTTGAAAGATTAATAAAATAGACAATTAATAAAATAATTAATAAAATAATTGATTTATTTAAAAATAATTATTTATTTTATATTGTGATAGATTTTTAAAATTCTATGTTCTATATTATAAAAATTATAATTACAATATAATTAATTTTTTATTCTTATTACATATTTTTTATTGAAATGGTAATTCATTGAACATACTCATTATTTCATTCGTATCATATTTTTCCTTTTCTTGTTCTTTAATTTCATCAAATATATTTTGTAAATCTTGAGGAATATAAATTGAGATGTCATTTAAATACAAAGCATCATTTTGGGATAATTTTTGCAAAGTTGCCCATCTTGTTGCAACATCTTTAAACATACACTTTCTAAATATTAGACAATGTATATGTCGCAGTTTTTCATATTTTATTCTCATAAATCCTAACTTACTCAAAACATATCTCCATGATTTTATTATCTTAGCATTTGCACCAACATGTTTTGAATCAGGACTTATAATGAAAAGAATACCACCAGTTTGCAATAAATCATAAGCTTTTTTACAACATATGTATCTTTGTTTTGGACAGGGTAAATATTCTAAAAATAAGGAAAATACAACTACTTGAAAAGTGTTTTCAGGCAATTGTAAAACTTGATATTTATCATTAGAAATTAATGTTTCTCGTCCAATTTGAACATTTAAAAAATCACAACGTAAAACTTTTTCTGGTATATCATTCAAATCTATTGCAAATACATCAAACATATCTAAAATCCCAAATGGATTATAACAACTACCTACATCTAACAATGATATTTTTTCAACTAATTTTTCATTATTTTTATCAAAATATTCAGATGTTTGAATCTTCTTATTTTTATTTACATTATAATTTATAGCGATTTCAGATTTTATATAATATTTATCTATTTTTTGTTTTATATTTTCTTCTCTCAAATCATATTTCTGTCTTCCACTATTTAAAAAATATTCTTCACATTGATTTTTAATCCATTCTATTCTTGAATATGTTGAATTTTTGGTATTTAAGTTATTTTCCATCCAATATGTAGTTGCCAATTTTTGCATAGAAGAAGCATATTTCTAAAATATTTATTCATGAAATTCTACAGTCTTTTATGAATATTATTTTTATTTTATTTTATTAATCAATAAATAACATTTAAAATCAAACCTGTAAAATGTCTTTACGACGAATATGTCGTTCCCACGCAATCTCAGGACCGCAATTTTGAGCTTCTTGTCGCAACGTAGCATGTGTATTTTTAATAATATCTGATAAATATTTTTGTTCTTCTGTTGCCATTTGAATTTTTACATTAACATTATTTGAGCATAACACAATATAATATTTTGCAAAAATTTCTTTAAATTCGTAAAATAAATAGCTATATGTCAAGGATTCGTCTTGTTACTTTAACCTAATGTCCATTTTTGACATTTCATTTAATTCTTATCGTTAACCCCATGATCAAAACAATGGCGGGTTCTGCATTAAGACGATTAATGGCAGAATATAAACGTGAGAATTAAATTTAATTTATTGCAATTCATATTTTATTATAGATATTATGTAAAATTGCTTCTTTTATTATTTTTTTGTTTAATTTTAAATAATAATATAATGAATACTATATAATTTATAGAGTTAACCTTAAATCCACCTGAAGGTATTATCGCTGGTCCAATAAATGAAGAAAATTTCTTCGAATGGGAAGCCTTAATCACGTATGTATTTTAACAAAATATATAAATTTTAATTATTAATTTTTTATTTATGATAATTTGTTTTTATATTATATATATATATATATATATATATATATATATATATATATTATATATATAATAAAATATCTATCTGATATATATTTTTATTTTTTCTTAATTTTAGTTAAAAATTTAATATCTGTTTATAGTGGACCAGAAGGAACATGTTTTGAAGGTGGAGTTTTTCCAGCAAAATTAATATTTCCACCAGATTATCCATTAAGTCCACCAAAGATGCAATTTACTTGTGAGATGTTTCATCCAAATAGTAAGATTTTTTTTATTAAAACATTAATTTATGTTTATTTTTTTTTTTGAGTCTTAAAAATTTTGAATTCATATTTCTTTAGTCTATGCAGATGGCAGAGTATGTATAAGTATATTACATGCACCTGGTGATGATCCCATGGGTTATGAAAGTAGTGCAGAAAGATGGAGTCCAGTTCAAAGTGTAGAAAAAATATTGTTAAGTGTGGTAAGTATGTTAGCAGAGCCAAATGATGAAAGTGGTGCAAATGTTGATGCTGCTAAAATGTGGAGGGAAGATCGCTCAGAATTTGAAAGAATTGCTCAAAAATTAGTTAGGAAAACACTTGGTATTCCACCTTAAATTAAAATGTTTAGTGTTTAATTGAAAACAAAATTGTGTAATTAAAATGTCATATGATTCAGTGCAAATATATTGTCTTTAAATTAAAATTTTATCGAAATGTGATATATACTTAAAAAAATGTTTTACAATCATGTGTAACAATGTATTTAATTAAAAAAAATTAATAACACAATTTATTAGTCTTAAAAAATGTATTTTATTTTTAACATTACAGTACAAACATGGGTAATCAAATACATATGTATTTGTTTATATTTAGAATATTCTTAACTATAATAAAAGTAACAAAAAAAATTTTTTTTTTGTGCT